ATTAAATTAAATTTCAAATTTAAATTTTGAATTTTTTAAAAATTTTAAAATTTGTGATAGTTTTCTTCCATTTAATAAGAAAATTGGTTCTAAATTATCATTTTTATTTTAATTAAATGCCAAAACTGCTAAAAATAGCAATATTTTGAAGTTAATTCATTATGTTATATACATTGCAGCAGTGCGGGAAAAATATGGTGTGGTCATTTTATGGTTTAAATATTAAAATATGCTTTTATAATTAAGTTTTGCACAAAAATTCATTAGCAAAATTAATAAAACTTTCAATTAATAATGGTTTTAATTCAATTTAAGAATTAAAATTAAATTAAATTTCAAATTTAAATTTTGAATTTTTTAAAAATTTTAAAATTTGTGATAGTTTTCTTCCATTTAATAAGAAAATTGGTTCTAAATTATCATTTTTTATTTTAATTAAATGCCAAAACTGCTAAAAATAGCAATATTTTGAAGTTAATTCATTATGTTATATGCATTGCACCAGGGCGGGTCATATATGGTTGGTCATTTTATAGTTTAAATATTAAAATATGCTTTTATAATTAAGTTTAGTGCACAAAATTCATTAGCAAAATTAATAAAACTTTCAATTAATAATGGTTTTAATTCAATTTAAGAATTAAAATTAAATTTAATTTCAAATTTAAATTTTGAATTTTTTAAAAATTTTAAAATTTGTGATAGTTTTCTTCCATTTAATAAGAAAATTTGTTCTAAATTATCATTCTTTATTTTAATTAAGTGCCAAAACTGCTAAAAATAGCAATATTTTGAAGTTAATTCATTATGTTATATGCATTGCACCGGGGCGGGTCATATATGGTTGGTCATTTTATAGTTTAAATATTAAAATATGCTTTTATAATTAAGTTTTGTACAAAAATTCATTAGCAAAATTAATAAAACTTTCAATTAATAATGGTTTTAATTCAATTTAAGAATTAAAATTAGATTTAATTTCAAATTTAAATTTGAATTTTTTAAAAATTTTAAAATTTGTGATAGTTTTCTTCCATTTAATATGAAAATTGGTTCTAAATTATCATTTTTTATTTTAATTAAATGCCAAAACTGCTAAAAATAGCAATATTTTGAAGTTAATTCATTATGTTATATGCATTGCACCGGGGCGGGTCATATGTGGTTGGTCATTTTATAGTTTAAATATTAAAATATGCTTTTATAATTAAGTTTAGTGCAAAAAATTCATTAGCAAAATTAATAAAACTTTCAATTAATAATGGTTTTAATTCAATTTAAGAATTAAAATTAAATTTAATTTCAAATTTAAATTTTGAATTTTTTAAAAATTTTAAAATTTGTGATAGTTTTCTTCCATTTAATAAGAAAATTGGTTCCAAATTATCATTTTTTATTTTAATTAAGTGCCAAAACTGCTAAAAATAGCAATATTTTGAAGTTAATTCATTGTGTTATATGCATTGCACCGGGGCGGGTCATATATGGTTGGTCATTTTATAGTTTAAATATTAAAATATGCTTTTATAATTAAGTTTTGCACAAAAATTCATCAGCAAAATTAATAAAACTTTCAATTAATAATGGTTTTAATTCAATTTAAGAATTAAAATTAAATTTAATTTCAAATTTAAATTTTGAATTTTTTAAAAATTTTTTATTTTTCTGATAGTTTTCTTCCATTTAATATGAAAATTGGTTCTAAATTATCATTTTTTATTTTAATTAAATGCCAAAACTGCTAAATATAGCAATATTTTGAAGTTAATTCATTATGTTATATTCATTGCAGCAGTGCGGGAAAAATATGGTGTGGTCATTTTATGGTTTAAATATTAAAATACGCTTTTGTAATTAAGTTTTGCGCAAAAAGTGATCAGCAAAATTAATAAAACTTTCATATATGGTTAATTAGTGATATAATTAATTAATTAATTAATTAATTAATAGTTAATTAATAGTATTAATTAATAGTAAAAAATTAATTAATTATATCAATTGCCTGCGAACTATCAACAACTTTATCACTTTCTCTTAAATCTTTTTTATTGTTTCTTGCATTTTATGATAATTTGTTGCATTGAGGTTAAAAATAAAAGATAAAAGTTATGTATCAATTTTATCATATCTGATTAATTACTGATATATTGATGGATAGTAATTTTAATAAAAAATTAACTGATTATAGCATTCATTTGAGTATTGTAAATAATTATGTGGGGTGTTTTTTATTGTTTTTTGCATTTTGAAGTAATTTATTACAATGGTAAGGTGAGTGATAGCAAGCAAGAAACAGTGTTGTATATGATTGGTGATATAATTAAGTGATAATAATATAATAAAAAATTAATTATTTCAAAAAAATATTTTTAAAAATTTATTGTGTTAATTATTTCAGAATTATTACTAATTACATCATTTTTTCTCATTTTTTTCTACATATTGAAATCATTTATTGCAAATGATAAGAACTGATATCAAGGAAAGATAATGTTGTTTGTCAACTTCATGACATATCATTGATGAATTAAATAATTAGTTGACAGTAATATAATAACGAATTAATTAATTACCATATTCATTCAAGAATTATTATTAATTGGATCGTTTTTTCTCATTGTTTCTCGCGTTGTGATATATTTCACTACTAGTGATAAAAATTGATAAAAAATTTAACCATTTATCACTGCTACATGGTTCATCACATTTCACAAGTGATAATAATGATAATATATATTTAATAATACATAAAGATTGCATCAGGTTAGCATTAATTAATAAGTGATAATTTTTGTTCTAGTTTGAATTAAAATTATTATATGTTCTATGTAATTTTACATGCATTATTTATTGTACTGAAATAATTGATATGAATTTGTTAATTAATTACTTGAACTATTGTACTATTATTATTAAAACTTTTTTTCAGGTTTTTTTTGTCTTTGTTTTTGTCTAATATTCCATAATTTTACAATATTAAAATATTCGGTCACTTCAATAATTTTGGAAAAAATTGAAGTTAATATTATAAAACTAGTCATAATTCTTTCTCTTACTCCTCTCTCTCTCTCTCTCTCTTTCTCTCTCCCTCTCTCTTCTCCTTAACTCTTATCCATGATATTTCACAAAATTTAGTAATTGAATCATCTCTTATTATCAACTCTTCTTTCTCCTTTCCTTCCTTCCTTCCTATTTTTTACCTTCTTTCCTTCTTCTATTTATTCTATTTTTGAAAACCTGAAATGTTTCATTTTATAACAATGCAAAATTTGATAATATCTATTAGTTTTAATTTCTTTTCAGTATGAAAGATGAAGTATTCATAAATTTTCAAATAATCCATTCAATTCTTTTTCATTTTTATTTTTACTTCAGAATTCATTGCAAATATTAAGTGTATGTGTGTATTTATTAAAATTTAAGTTTACATTTCAAATTTATTTAAATCATACATTTTCATACATTGCAAATATGCGAAAGTATACAGTTACTAACTTAATTCAACATTTTGCAGTATAGAATAGAAATCAAGAAGTGAAATAAGCATTGAAATAAATAAGCTAAAATTGTAACAAATAAGTTAGTTTCACTTTTTGTTCTGTTTTTCTTTCCAAATCTTTCATTCTTTTTTTTCCTTTTTTTTTTTATATATTTTCATATTAAATTTTCATGTCCTTTTTTTCAAAATTACCGAATTTTTTCTTATTTTGGGGAAAAAAAATTTTTTTCAAATCATTCACTAAGCATTCATCCAAAATGTAATTTTAAAATAATTTCAATTATGAAACTTTATTATTAATCGAAAAAAAAAAATAATGTCAAAATGTTTCCATTTTGTTTTCCTTCCATATTATTTTATTGCATCATTTCAAGTGATATACTATTTGTAATTATTAAATTATCAACAAAAAAAACACAGAAAATCATTTTCGCTCAAATTTTAAAATTTAAAATTGAACTATAATATGATATAATATCATTATTAATATTGCAAATTATCATAGTACTAAAAAGAAGAAAAAAAAAGAATGAATGTATGTTTAAAGCACCAAAAACAACATTTTAAATGTTATAACAAAAAAAAAAAGAAAAAGACAAAATTAATTTTCAAAATAAACAAACAATATATTTTAGCTAAAAGATTATTAATTATTAGTAAGAAAAAGTAATTGTTATTAAATATATAACAATTAATCTAATTATAACATTATAATATTTAAACCTCATATGTTAAGCTATTTATTAATTTTCCAATAATTAAGTAAGTCAATAATTTTCATTTATAAATTTTGAAATCATCGTTATGGTAAAAAAAATAATTTGCAAATTACCTATGTATAGCAGCAGCACTATGTTAAAATTATATAATTAACATTATTATTAATTTAATAAACTTTTACTTATTAATTAGTTTTAAGCAAAAGTTTATTTTAATTTTTGCAAAAAGAAAGCTTAGAAGAATTTCTATGGATTTTTTTTAACTCTTAAAAACTTTATTAGCCATTTAAACAAGGAATAAATCATTAATTAACAATATTTTTATTTCACAAACTTTTATCTTTTATCTCAAAAAATTTTCTCTAATCTTTTACCATATTAAAATTACATATGGTTAAGTTGAAGAGAAAAAAAAATTAATACCATGAAAATTTGTTAGAAAAAGCTCCAAAATTATGCTAATTTGTATTTTTTTTTCACTATCCTACATAAAAATTTAAGTATGCTAAATGAAAGTTATGCAAATAGAATATTCATTAAGTAAAATTGAGAAAGGTAATTTGAATATTGCAATGTTTTTTTTTTTTTTTTTTATCAAAATTCAATTTTATTGAAATAATCATTATTTAAAGATAATAATGCTACAATCTTATTTATGTGATATAAAATTTTTTATCATTTTAAAATTACAAATAATTCAATATCAAAGTGATTGTGAACAATTTAATTGTCTCATTTTTTTGTCATTTTATGAATTTATTATTAAACAATAATAATAATTATTATCCATAAAACGTATTACAATCATCATTTAATTTTAAGGAATGCCTAAGTGATGAATTATTCCTGCTCATTTCACCATTTGGTGATTTTTCATTTCGTTGTTCCATTGTTGATGAAATGATATCGGTGGTGACATTGTGATGTGTCAAACGTGATGCTGCAGGTGCTGGCAATAAACTAAATATATCAAAAATAGATTAATTGTAATATTAATTAATTATAAAATAATTACAAAAGCAAAAAGAAAGAAAGACTAATTAGTCTAAATAAGCTAATTAATCTAAGAAAAAAAATTTTATTTTTTTAAAATTGTTCCAAAAATAAAAAAAAAAAAAAAAACAATAAAATATTAATAAAATGGATACTGTGGATCAGCTTTAGTGATTGGTCTTGGATTTCGGAAAGGTTTTCGTTGATGTTTCATTCCAAATTTTGCACGACGACGACGTTTATTTCGTTTTTTTTCAAGCTTTTTTTTGAGCATATAACAGAAGAAACCGGAAATGAGCAAAAATATGCAACCGGAAAATATTGCCATAAAAAGCACCGTTCGCACATCAGCTGCATTCTCTAATTTATTACCTGATGAAATGAAAAATTAAAAATAAATAGAAATATTTCTATACTTTTATATGTTAAATAATAATAGCAATAATAAATAAATAATATTATGACAATAATTATTGATTCATCATTAATAATGATTTACTGTTACTACTAGTGATGATATTAATAATAATAATTCATCAATGCTATGTTAGCTAACACAATTTTATATTTATTCTATTTGACATTAACTTGTTTACTCTTTCCATTCCTAATTCCTTTCTTCCTTCCTTCCTTCCTTCCCTCACTTATTTATTTCCCTAAATTCTTCCCTCCTTCCCCTCTTCTTCTTCCTCTTTTCTTCTTTTCTCAAAATGAAGTAAACAACAACAACAAATATCATTTCGATACCATTTAAATAACTAACTAAACATACTGCTCAAAAATTTCATTTTTTTCAATGCATAAATTCTTGTTCATATATTCAACAAAATAATGAAAAATATTTCATTCATGCATGCAAAAATAATATTTATATAATATATGAAATGAATAAATAAATTAACCAAGTTTTGTAAATTTTTGAACAGAAAAAAAATTAATAAAATTTTTTCAAATTTTGAAAGTTGAATTTAAATATTAATAATTTTTGAAATGTAAATATTAAATAGATACAATTGTTTCACACTTCATAATTTATTACTCATTTATTATTCATATTTTACTTAATGTATTTCACGTTTAAAAATTAAATTTAGTATTTTAGCAACCTCAATTAATCTGATTAAAAGTTTATAAAATTTTCGGATGATATTCAAATATCAATAGCCTAAATTGATCTGATGGATTTCACACAAATGACACTTATCAGTAAAATATACAAATCTAAATTAAACTGAATAAAATAATTTCTATTTAATATTTATGTAACTATTATGAATGATACTTATAACTCACTAAATATTCTATTAATTATGAATAAAATAAAAATTATGATAAATAATTAATTAACAAAATAATTGAATACAATATTGCAATAAAAATATTATAAACAAAAATTAATTTAATTAAAGATTTAATCAGATTAAAATAAATAAATAAATTAACATACAGTATGCTTCATCAGTATCATCATGTAAACCACAATTTTTATCACCGTTACATTTCAAACGAGCATCAATGCATAACTTTGTATACGTACAAAGATACATCGTTGGATGCAAACATTCATTACTATCTAAAAAAACAAAAGAAGAAAATAAGTAAGAGTATAGGTTATTAAGTAATATTTCTGTAGTAAGTAAATATAATATAGTGAGTTAATAAGTAATATTTTAATGAATAAATTCGCAAATAAAGTAAAAAAATAAATAAAAAGTAATATTTTTTTTTTTAGAAAATAAAATTTTATAAATCTAATTTAATTTTATTTATTCTCAATGAAAAAAAAAATATTTATATATTGTTTTAAAGCAATTAGAAAATATCTTTGTGCCGAAATAAACATAAAATAATGATTAATTTGTTGAATTTATTAAATTTTTTTGTTTTTAATTGATTGTTTGTTTACCTTGAATATTTTGTGATTAAACTATAATTAAATTGTGGTTAAACTTCGATTAAATTATATTAATCAACATAAAATATACTATTTTCAAAAGTGGAAAAAAATTTTTTTTTAATTGCTATCAATAGAGAAAACTTAATCAAATAAAAATTCAAAAATTTTACAATTTTTAATTAATAAATAAATACCTGTTGTTTTTTTAACCTCCGTCCAGGTAAAATTAAAACCTTTCAAACCATTTACTTTATCTGGTGATGTGAAAAATCTGAAACAAAAAAAATAATTAAATAAATAAAAGAATAAAACAAAGAAAAACAAGATTAATTTAATTATGATAATGTAGAATAATCGGAATCATTTTAAAACCGAAAAATATTTTTTAAATTTTCTAAAAATTTATTAAATTTTAGCTTCTTTTCTAAAAGAATTATTTGCTTATGTTTTTTGTTTTTTTTAAAAAAAGTTATTATAAAATTTTACATGTAAAGAATAAATAATCTATCATTTAGTAAATCTATTTTGTTATTATTATTATTTTTTCTTTTAATGTAAAAAAATTTCACTGTAATTGAAAATATATTTCGTTTATTATATTAATGCACAAAAATTTGAATAATTTGTAATAATTAAATTAGATGAAGAGAATTATTCTATAATTAAATTTTTTATTTTGATTTAAAAAAAAAGAAACCTAATTCGAACTGTGTTATTTTTTGAAATAATAGGTTGAATGACAGTTTCATCAGTACCACAAATTTCCTGTATCGTAGGACTAGCATTAATGCCACGTTCAGCATCCACACGAATTACCGCATTTTGACAATTCACCGATTCAGCAGTCATTGAACCTTCGATTTCCATTTTTATAAGATGTAATAATACCTTTAATAATGAAATTAATTTTATTCGAATTTTGTTTTGAAAAAAAAAATATTAAAATTTGATCAAAAATAAAATTTTATTTGTAAGTAAACTATCTTTTCTTATTTAATTTACATTTCTTCTGTAAAACTTCATTTTCTCATCTATTTTACAAATTTTAGTTTTATAAATTAGCAGTCTAGAAATTTGATTTTTTTATTTAATTTAAACTTATATACTTATTTGATTTTAATTAGTGATTATTAGCTTTTTTTTTTCTTAGATTTAATCTAAGTTTTAAAATTAGGCTTTGAATTTTTTGTTGAATTGATTTGTAAATTTCAAATTTTATACTTGCACATTTGTTTGATTTAAATGGTGATTATTCTTTCTTTTTTGAATTTAAATTATTAATCTAATTTAGGTATTGAATTCACTATTGAACTGATTTAGAAATTTAAAATTTTGAACTTTTATATTTATTTGATTTAATCAGTGATTATTATTTTTTTAATTTAAATTATTAATCTAAGTTTCAAAGTGAAACCTTGAATTTATTGTTAAATTGATTTATAAATTTTGAACTATTAAGCTAGAAATGGTGATGATATTATGATACCTGATGATTTGGTCGTACAGTAATTTCCCAATCACAAATTAAATCTTTATTATATTTTATTGGATATCCCGGTGATACTAACCAACCGCTAGTGAAATCATCAGTTCGAGTTATTCGTTGACCACAATGTCGAGCAACTGCTAAAAATTTACCCTAACTTATCATATCTAATAATTTTATCAACTATTCATAATTTGGAATAATATTCTTTTTTTTAAAAAAAAAAAGTTTAAATCAACATAAATTACATCGAAACTATCACTTTTTAATTATATTATTTCTAATAAATTTAAAAAAAAAAAAAAACTAAAAATTTTCTGTCTTATCATATTTTGATATTTTCACCATACACCAATTCATAATTTGGAATATTTATTTTAAAAAAAAGCTTTAAATTAACATAAGTATATCCAAACCGAAAATTCTATCACTTTTAATTGTTAAAAAAAAAAACAATTAAAGCAAATTTTACTTTAAATCTATCTGATCTATATTAGAAGAATATTTCATTATTATCTTTTTTTTATCTTTGATAAATTTTTTGAAGTATAATAAGCAAATGTATCTATGAAAAAAAAAAAAAATTTTTTAACTAACGTTTTGTTGGAATTTCTTCGGTAAATGCTTTACGAATTTGATAGATTGCTTTAAAGCCATTTCCAGTACCTTCATGATCAGATAAAAAAAAAACTCGAAGTTCATGTGAACCAAATGCTGTTACTGTTGGTCCCGGAAATGTATTTGCACAATAACGAGCTGTAAAATTTTTATTTTAATTTAAACATAAAATTTTTTTTTAAAGAATGAAAAAAAATTTACAAAAATAAATCAATTTAAATTTAAATATTTCGCACCTTGAAGTTGTAATTTTTCCACACCATCTTTGACAAAAACATCTGATATTTCTAAATAATCAGTACAACTGAAATAAAAAACAATTAGCATTTTAATTTACTTTCATAAAATATTTATCTAAAAAATCACAAATACTTTTTTTTTCTTCGAAAATAGAAAAATAAAAATGTTTTAATGTTAGCTAATTTTGTTTTTTGAAAATATACGATTAGCAAATTAAATTAAATGAAAGATTTGATAGCATAGCTCAATTTTGATCATAATGTACGGATGATTAATTTGCGGTGATATTTAATAATAAAATTAAAATTTTTACAGCCATTTTTTAAGTAATTTTTTTTTAATTTAAAAGAAACGATTAATATTTTTTTTTTTTTAAATCGCTATTAAAAATGAAATGGTGCAGTAACTGTAACATATCATTATTTCACAAAAATGAGAAAAATTTTTTTTAAACTTTTAAACATATCAATAAATTTGATTATTAATTCCTAGATGGTTTCTTAATAAAATCTAAATTTTTTAAAATTGTTTTTGTTTTTAAATGCAAATGAATAGAAAGTATTACCTTGTCTCAACTGTTGAATGTTCATCAACATAAAGAGCAAATTGCTCGAAGTAAACTTGAATCTGTTCATCTGGTCTTGCCTTGATAATGTAAGTGCAATTGGTATCTAATGGATACTGTAAATAAGTTTCTGTAATGTAGATAGTACTGTAAATGAGTTTCTATGCTATGAATGGTACTGTAAATGAGCTTCTATACTGTAAATGGTGCTGTAAATATTTAACAGATACTGTAGACTATATGCAAATGAGATTCACAATTAATATGCACAATTTTAAAATTTATTGCAATTATTTTAAAAAAAATTAGAATTAATAGTAAATAATAAAAATACATTTGCCGGATATCTTGGACTATTGAACCAACCACGTGTTTTTGTAAACTGAAACATACATTGATTTGAACCACCAATTGGTTTACCCGGTATACCAAAATCTATAAAAAAAAAAAAAAAATTTTTTTTTGATGAAATTCCAAAAAAAGTAAATAAATAAAACTAATCACCAATCAGTTAATTATTTTATATGACTGCAAAAAGGAAAGAAAATCTCTTTTTTTAAGTTATAAATTAAGAAAAATTTCATATAATATCATTTTTTTCTATGAAAAATATTTAGAAGTATTGCGGGTTAAAAAAATTTTAACAACAAATATGACTTGAATTGAATTGAATACCTGTTTTAAACTGTATTTTAGCTTTAAATCCTAATGGTTTCTTTCCATCACCATTAGAAGAAATCTTTTCATTAGAACTAAATACTAAAACCATTCTTGGTCCATCACTAATATATGGGCCCAAAATATGTGAACCTATAAAATAATTATCAAAATTAATGTTTAATTAATTATTTTATAATATTTCAGATGATTGTATGAATAAAACATCTTTTTTTTAAAGTTGTAAATTTAGAATAATTTATGCTGTGAAAAATTTGAAAAATTCATTAATATTGCATAAATTAAAAATTTTTTACTACAAATAATTTGAATAAAATTTTAAATTTTACAAGTACTTACTTAATCTCAAGCTTACACTTTAATTTTTATTGATTTTTGAAAATTTTTTTAATTAATTAAAATATTACTAACCATTTTCTAGACGATCACAAAGTGTAGCATCGTAATTACTTTCTTCACCAGATGATAAAACACTATTAATGGTTGCTGGAACGAATGCAATACCAACATATGATGTGGCACATGGTTCGTCATCATCATCATAATTAATTGAGGAATGTTTTGAGTGAAATGAATTAGAACTAAAAGAATAAAAATAAAGAATAAATCATGAAATGAATTGAAATCTAAAAAAGAAAAACACATTTAATTTATTTTAGTTGAAATAATTAAAATGCTTAAAACAAGTCATAGATAATCTTAAAACATATTCAACAATCAAAAAAAGAAATTAAACTTTATTTCGAAAAAACAAATTTTTATTTATGCTTATGCTCGGTATTAATGAATTCTAAAAAAATAAATTAAAATTTTAAAAATAATCATTCTTTTAATTTATAAAGCAAAAATTGAAAAAATTATGAAAGGAAAAAAAAAACAGAGAGAAATATTTAATTCATGTTAAATGAGAAAATTAAAATGTTTAAATTAAATGAATAGATAATTTAGATAATTTTAAAACGTATTCAAAGATAAAAAGAAAAAGGAAACGAAAGAAATTAATTTTTACTTTCAACAAAAAAAAAAAGCAATTGCTAATTCATAATTAATGCTTTTTATTAATACAGTTTAAAATATGCTTATTAAACTTAACTAACTTGTCAATTGTTTCAGTGAGGACAGCAAAATTTTCGAACGTAAGTATTACTTCCTCCAAATTTTGTTCACCTTGTAAACCATCAATAATAAATGTACAGGTGGTATTAGCTGGATACATCAATGGATACTAAAAAAAAACCTTTTTTTTTTGATCAAATCAAAGCATAATTTTACAAGTAATGTACGTATTACCTAAAATATTCGGCAATATCTGAAATTATTTTATCAATTCTTTGCTCTTAATTATACGTAAATTTTATTAAACTCTTTAGATTTCTAATTTTATAATTTAGCAATCAATTAAAATATACCTATAAAATTTTTTACTTACTAAAATTTAACAGTTATAACATACTTTAGGGGAATGTATATAATGGGTTGTTTCACGATTACTTCTCACAAGCAAATCACATTCTGAACCGCGCAAATGTGTTATTCCTAGTTGATTATCCATTAATTTTAATACATCCACATAACGATTTGAAAATTCATAATCTAATGAATATCTATAATAATAACAACAAGTAACAAATAATATTTATTAAAAATTTCTGTTCTGTTTTGGGTTATATATTTTTAAATAAATATTCCTATTTGATCATATAATAATAATAATAACAGCGACAACAATGACAATAGCGCTAATGACAATTTATCGATAATTGATGCATTTGAATGGAATGCAAAATGAAGCATAACAAATAATGGAACATAAATTAAATAAAATTAAATTATTTTTTTTTTTTACCCTCTTGGATCAGTTTTAGCTGGACTTGTCGTATTGAATTCAATAAATGCATTTGGTCCAAATGAATAAATTACCATACGTTGTTGTAAGCCACATATTTTACGAATTATTGGATACTTATTACTTGGACCATCATATATTGTTAGAGAATCATATGGACAACTATAAAACAAAAAAAAATTTATTATTTTTAAAATATATTATTTTTTAAAATCTTTCTTTTTTCTTTCAAATTAGATACAAATTATAGCAATATTGATTGATTAAATTAAATGATAATTATTATTTAAACAATTATCAACAAAAATATTATTATCACTTATAAATTTATGCGTAAATTATAGTAATATTGATTTGATTGGTTGATTAAATTAAATAATCATTATCACTTATTAATTTATCAGAAAAACGAAAGAAAAAAGAAAAAAAAATGAATTTACTGTTCGCCACCAAAATAAATATCGAAATCACGAAAAAGTAAACGAATACGTTGACCCGTCTTACCATTGAGCAAATAAGTACAACGAAAATTCTAAAAAGAAAAAAAACGAAGTATTTGTCTTTTTTTTTAAATTAGAAAAAAAAAGTACCATAGAATTTAACCTTAAAATAATTATTGTTGTTTATTGTTATCGTTCTTATTTTTGTTGTTGCTGCTATCATTATTAATGCTATAGTTTTTGCTTTTTTTTTTCAATTCCGTTGTATTTTTAAGTCAAATTGACCTTTAAGTCAAATTGATCATTTCAAATTAATCATTTTCAAATAAATAAACACTTTCACAAATTTAAATTTAATAATGCTGCATTAATAAAGTAATGAAACAACTAATCTAAGAAAAATCACACCAATCATATAACAAATCATATCAATGTTTAATTTTAATTTTGATATTTAATATTATTATATATTTTTGATATTTAAAATACATATTAATGGAAAAAATTTAATATTGCTATATGGTGTACTATAATTTAAAATTTTTTGGAATTAATGTATAAGTTTAAATTTTATACATACTGAATGATATTCGAAACGAATTAACATATAATTTTATTAATAAGTTATGTGAGTATTTCTGTTGATAAATTTTTTTATATTTTGAATTTAATTTGAATTGATTTATTTATTGCATTAGAAAAATTTTAATATAACTTTTTATCATTTAATTAACTATTTAAAAAATCAATTGAACTTTAAGCTATGCTAATTTAAATGAAAAGATCAAGATGTCTTTTTAAATTTTAATGTTTACTTTTGGATATGTTCCTGGATAAGTAGGTGAAAGTATCGATCCACGTTTCCTGTAAAATAAAAAAAAAAAAAGAAAACCACATTTTTTTCTTTCTTTTTAAATTTTTCTCTCTCCTTCTCTCTCTCTCTCCCTCTTCTGTCATTTTTCCTTTTTTTTTATCCCTATGTTTCAACACAACTGCACTTTATCCACTGAGAGAATTTTTAAAAAATTTGTCTTCAAGTTGCTTTTTTCACTGATGGTTAAATTTTTCTTCCAATCAATATATTCTTTTCTAATTTTTAAAAAACTTCAAACTTTAATTAATTTGATTATACAAATTCATCACTGATTATAAAAACTGTTTTATAATTTGTACAAATTGAAATTTGTCAACGTTTGCTACTAATTACAATGATTCACATTTGTCAACAATTTCATTTATTTATACAATTTTTTTTTAAGGTAGAAAAAATTGAAAAAAAAAATGTAAAATTTATTCATTAAAACTATTTATAAGAAAAAATATATTAATTAATTAATTTTTTTTAAAGAAAGATTGATTCTAATTTTCTGAGGTGAAATTTTGATTGTAGAACTAACAGCTTACTTAAGCTTTGAATCGATCACAAAATCACATTTGCCTGGTGGTATTTTCTGGCCCACCAGATAAGGTGCTGAAATTACAATGTAAATTTTGATTTAATTATTATTATTTTTCTTTTTTTTTTTGAGAGGAAATAAAAAATTTTTTTAAAAAATATTTTTGAAAAATGAGAAATGATGTATGCTTTTATAAATAATGTATGATGTTTAATGAAGAGCAGCAAAACTGGTTATTTTATTTAAGTTAGTAAGCCTAAGCCCAGGCGTAGAGGCTATTTTAGTCTTACTTATACTAAAATAAGAAAGCTTATTGTCATTTTTAATTTATAGCATACTAAATGCCTTTTTAAGTTCTTTTTAGCAACAAAATAGTCGAATATATGAATAATAATTTATTACAGAAAGTATAATTCTTAGAATTTCTCAAAATTAAGCGATAATTTAACTTTAATTCAAAGTAAAAGAAAAATAAAAACTCTAACAATGTTTTCTCTCAAAATTTATTATTATTATTACTCTTATCAATTTTATTATTATCATTATTATTTATCAAATAATTATTTCCTTCTTTCAACATTTATTATTATTTATTTTAAACCAGTATTTACAGTTTTAATCATTTATCACTAATAATTTGAATTATGCAATTTGAAATTAAAAATATTTAATTAAAATTTCACTAAAAAAAAAAAGTGCAAACCATCAGATATGAAAGCATAACGACCGCTAAATTTTAGCCGATTTCGTTGATTTGATGCAGCTCTTGAATGAAATACTAATACAATGACACGATTTAAACTAAAAACAATATATATAATAAATTAATTATTTAAATTAACAATTAATTTTAAAAATAAATAAATTTTAATTAAGGAATAATAAACTTATCAAGAGAAATAGTAGTTTAAAAAACTAGACTTAGTAATTCAAAAAAAAAAAATAAAGTAAATAATTTTGTGCAAAAGATATAAAAGATGGTGTTGATTAATGAAGAAAATAATTTCATAGATAAGTTTTTAGTTTTTTTTGTTTGCCTAATTTTAATTATTAATAATTAAACATATTTTTTTGCATTTGAAAAGATAACATCAGAGTAATTAGATAGTTAATTAATTAATTAAATAATTAATTACCTAATTCTTACATATGGTGATACACTACCACAATAGCGACCACCGAAAGCGGCAGAAAGTAAATCATCATCAGGTTCCTCTAATTCCGAATATATATCAACATATTCCGTTTCACAACTAAATGAAAAAAAAAAGTTTTTTTTTTTTGTAAATTTAATAACTTTTATTTAGAAATTTAAATTTATTTATTTACAATAATATTGTTTTGATTGTTTACTAATTTATTTATTTTATTTGATTACTATTTTTTCTTTTCACTTTTTGTAATTGCATATGCATTGCAAATTTCAAAATTTATTTCGAAATCAGAAAGAAAATAAAAAAATTAAATTTTTATATTATATAAGAGAAAATTACATACAAATTTGAATAAATTTTTTTTCACTTTTTTAAAATTTACACTCATTTATTTGCAAATAATCAATTTCCAATTCAGTAATTAATTAATAAATTTTAATTTTTCATTAGAAATTACAATTTATGCTTTCTGCTCGCAAAAAAAAAATGAAAAGAAAAAACAAAAAAAAAAACAAACACTTACTTGCCAGCAGTTCCAGCTAAATGAAATTGATCGAAATTTAATTTTACACGCTGTTTTGGTGACGCAACAAACGTGTATATACACTGTAAAAAAATTTTAAATTTATTTCAAATTTAAGAAAAAATAAGATGAAAAAATTGATTAATTGTGTTATTTGATTAAATTTCACTAATAATTTCCATTTGTTATTTAAATTTTAATGCAATTCAAAAGAAAGAAAGAAAAAAAGAATAAGCACTTCTTACTTGTAAATTTTTTGCACCCTCAGTTTGTGAAATTTGTTCAGAAACGGTAGCTGAAGGTGGCAACATCGGTAATTGAAATTCACCTTCCGGAATAGATGAATCGAAGATATGATCACATTCTAAAGCTTTCTCACACAATTTCTCACTTAATTCTATTTTCAATTTACTTTAATATTTTCAAAATTTTGTCATAATTTTATCATTTATCATAATTATCTTATCATAATGATGATGCGTTATTACTATATGTATTTACTTATTTATTCAGTTAATAAATTTTAATTATATAAATTTATTTGATTAGTAAGTAAATTTTAATTAACATAAAGCACTATTTCAATTTCATTATTTGATTGTACTTTTTTGTCCTTTTTTTTTTTTTTTTATCTTAATAAATTTTTTATAAACTTATGTACGTGAAAAGCGTGTATGTGTGCGTGTATGTCTGTCCGTCTGTGTGTGTGTGTGTGTGTGTGTGTGTGTGTGTGTGTGTGTGTGTGTATACGTGTAATAATGATACTTCACTCCTATTATATGTTTAATTAACAAAATTTAGTCATAATATAATAAATTTTTATCAAGTATTATTTCAATACTATTATTTAATTCCATTCTTGTTCTTTCTTCTTTTTTTCATTCAGCATAATAGACGTACGCACGTGAACCTATACGTATATACGTATATTTATATTTTATTTCATCCATTGACGGCCTCTTTTTTGTAGAAATAAGTAATACAATGCCTTTTTTCTTTCTCTCTTTTTCTCCTTTCTTTTTTACTGACACTATGAAAATTTTAATTTAAAAAAAAAAAATGTGCTTCAATTAAAATTAAGAAATATTAATGTCTTAATTTCATTTTTAATTAACAGTAATAGCTAATTTTAGCTAATTAATGAGTTAATTAAAAATTTAGATAGACTTACTCTTCATATGATAGTACACCTTTGAGCCAAAAGAATAGAATAATAATTAGCAAACAAGCAATAATACAGGTAAATAATAATGCAAAAAGAATGTCACAATCCAAACTACGACAAAATGCGCAATCGTTTTTTGCATTAGCTTTTTCTTCATTAATTAATAAATTAATCCGTGCTTCTAATACATTTTCCAATGTGCGCATTTGTGCCATTCGTTTTTTAAATTATTGCAAAATATCATTAAAAAAAAAATTTTTTCCACCTCTTTTCTACCTCTCTTTTTTTCAGTTTTTCGTTTTGAAAATAAATCAACTGAAAAAAAAAGAAATAAAATATTAAAAAAATTAAAGGCTAAAAATTTTTTTAAAAAAAAGGAAATTATTATCGCTTATAATTTGTTTCAGTTTTAAGAAATGCGAAATATGAATGAATAAATACATAAATAGTAATTATTTATATGCAAATATGAAAAAAATTAATTTTATAGGAAATAAAAAGCAAAAAAAAAAGAGACAGAAAAATTTTTTGATCATTTTTTTCAAATTTTTTGGTGTAAAAAAAGAATCAAAATATATAAGCTACCAAATGCTAGAATTAGCTAACAAATGTTTTTTTTCCGATCAACAAATTAAATTTGACAAAGTCTGATGATTTTGCTAACTGCAAGTAATAAATGATTATTTCAAAAAAAAAAAAGAACAATGGTGAAATAGTTAAACTAAAATTGATGAAAAATTATTTGGAAAATCTGAAAGTGAAATGAAAAAAAAATGTCTTTTAAAAAAAATTTGAAAATTTCAAATTTTTTTTAACCTTTATGTTCTTATAAAATAACAAGAAATATTTACAAAAAAAAAAGAAAAAAAAAAGAAGATACAGCTTTGTTAAAAAATATTCATTTGATGTTATAAAATAATTTTTATTGAAAAAGCTTTGAATGATTATATAAAATACTTTCGATTAGTGAAATATTTACATAATCTAGTAATAATTATCACTTATTTATCGTTTCAAAATAATTAAAATTCAGAATCTCAAAATTAAAGTTCAAAAATAAGAAATGATGAACTTGAAAAATAAAAAAAAAAGATGAACTTTGTGAAATTATGTATAATATTATAAAATTTCATTAACATAAAGAATAATTGCTGAAACGTACATTCACCTTATAGTTTTTCTTTTTAATTTTATTTTTCTCCTAATTTAATTTTAATTTTTTTAAATATTATTTGGTGAAATAATTAAAGATTTATTATTTCAAATATACGATAATCATAAAATGATTAAGTAATTAAGTTAGTAATAATTAAAAGAAAAATTATGCAAATTAATTTGATGCATGATTGTGTCAAAAATCGTATTGCAATAGTTATAGTAAATGTAAAAATATTTTTGTAAATAATTTCATTTGAAGTTTAATAAAAAAAGAAAAAAAAAGGAAAGAAATGAGCTAATTTAGTTTAAAATATTCATTTGATACTTTAAAATTTGGATCAAATTTCATCGTTTCAACTTTTCACTACTTACATCATACATTAAATTGAAGTATTTGTTCAAAAAATTTGTCAGTTCTTATAAAAGTAATGTAAAGAAATTGATGAAATTACTCAAATGTGTAATAAACATGTAAAAAATATCTCAAATATGTAATTAAATTTTTATCAAAATGGCAAGCGATCATCCTTATACTTCCATAAATAATATTTTTTAAAATATTTTAAATACCATTCTTAATACTTAAGCATTTATATTTGAATTTAAAATTGAGCTTATCTAAAAATTATTAAAACTTTACTCATTAATAGCACTGATTATTATTTGATTAGAAGCAGTATCATAAGGCTAATTTATATTATTATACTTAATGAATTATGTTAAAATGATTTGATAGTTTGATCGACATAAACTTAGCTATATGATATTACTCGATCAAACCTTAATTAAGTATTCAACAACTTAATAGTTATAATAATTGAAAAGATTAAATCATAATATTATAATAATCATTACATGATTGAAGATATCAATGTTAATTACCTTGTTGATTAATTAATTAATTAATTAATTAAAATTTGTTAGTTACATATGATTAGCAAAAAGCCAGTGATCATCCGTATATTCTAAACAGTATCTTAAATGATTAATTATTTTATTTACATCGAAATAAACCTATTAATAGTTCGTAAAGTAAATTAATTAAGCTCAAAATACTAACTAATAAAGTAATTAATCAACTTTTTAAGCAAAAACTAAATGCGATTTAATAATCAAAAAAAAAAAATAATAATGATAATTTACAAATAAATTAATAAGTATTCTCAACTTATCACAAATTATCATATGATTAATCATCTTTACTAAAAATATTTAAATAATTTAAAAGAAAATGAACTGCAATTACATAAAAAAAAATCGAAAAACAATAATTCGAATATAATTTGAGCAATAATTTGCATTAAAATTTGAGCAATAAAAATAATAATTTGAATTACATAAATTAACTAATAAAATGGAACAAAAATATGAAAATGAAATTAGAACAACAAATTATTTCGTTGTTTATTTTTCGTTTTATATTTGTAATGATAGCTATAATTTACACTAATTAATTATTTTTGAATCTATGCTAATATATCTTATTCTAATCTTAATTAATCATTCATTATTTCATTTTTTTTCTTTTTCTTTTCTTCTTTTTTTTTTACTTTTCTGAAGTAAAAATGCAAATCTTTTAAAAATGAAAAAATCTTTTTGAACAAAATTTGACAAATAAACTTCTTCTTTCATACTCTTTAAACTCTTCAAAATTGATTATTTCATTTCTCTCTCTCCCTCTTTCTCTTCCTCCCTCTCTCTTTCCCTCTCTCTCTCGGGAAAAAAAGAGCTAAAAGAGTTGTATTAGCGATAATTGTTGAATATTTGATTTGAATTAAAATGCAAAACTTCTTCATTTTAAAGTATATGTAAATAAATATTTGTTAAAGTGAAATAAGTAAAACATAGTGTAATCGATGTGTGTCACATAAAATAATTTTCTAAATTTCTAAAAATAAATCATTCATCCATTTTGCTTTTTCGCTTCTCAATATTTTAGCTTCAATTTAAAAAAAAAATGAATCATATGTATATATTTTGATGTATATTTAACTTTTTGTCATAATCATATATTTAATTATTTGATTTAATTTCATTTAATTAAAATTAGTATTCACAATTCATTTTCACTTTTTATCAAGCTTTTTTTTCCTTTTGAAATATGAAATATTTTAACAAAAATTCAAAATGATTGGAAATTAAAATAAATATATGTATTAGAATAAAAAATAAGGAAAAATTCCTAAATGAAGAAGAAAAAAAGAGAAAACTAATTAGTAATAATATTTGTTTGATGCTCTCTATCTAACTCTGTTGTATTTGTTAATAAATTAAAATTTTAAAAATTAATTGGTTAAATACAATTCTATGACTAGCAATCATAAATTGAAAATTTAAGTTAAAATATCTTTAAAAAAAATAAATGACTTAATTTAAATTTTTTATCGAATTTCTAATCTTAATTATACGTTGAATTGAATATTTCAGAACTGAATTAATTAATTAATTACTTTAGAAAATATTAATGAAAAATGATGAATGTATGTCTATGATAAAATATTATTATTTCAATTATTTTTTTTTTATAAATAAAAATTGGAAGCATAAAAAATACATATAAGTATGTAATATTGAAGCATCATCATTAAAATATCTATTAGAAATATTCGAAAAAAAAATTTAAATTTAATAAACAATAAGCAAACTTTAATTATTTGAAATTTTTTTTTTGAATTTCATAAAAATTGGAAATAAAAAACAAATACTTTATTTTCTCATGTAATTTATTTCAAAAAAATAGTAATAATTCACACAAAAATAAATTTATGAATCTTCCAACTGTAAATTAAATTTTTTATGATTTTGAATAAATTTGAAAATTTCTTATAATTAATTTTGAATTTCGTTTACAGTTTAAACGAACTAAAAAAACAAATTTTTTGTTTTTGTTTGTTTTTGATAAATAAAAAATGAAAAACATACGAAATATTATTTCAACATTTCGTTGATTATCGTTACTGTCGGTGTTACACCAATGAATGAAAATGAATAAAACAGATAAAATGACGCCAGATAACATTGCAGCGTGTCATTTGCGCCACTACATTATTACTTATTTCAGTGAAGTACTTACAGGTTTTTTCTTTCTCAAATTCATTTGTGTTTAAAATATACGCTGAAATCACGTAAATGACGTAAATATAAAGCTTTTTTCACATATTCTAAAATTACGTAAATTTAACGTTGAAAAAATGACGTAGAAAAAGATAAAGAAAAAACAGTATGAAAAAAAAAAACAAAGAAAATATGAATGAAAATTTTTTCAAACAAAAAAAAAAAATTTTCTACTAAAAATTTGAATAATTTTGTATGAATTCTTTTTTTCTTGTTTTCATTTATACTCAAAAATTTTATTCGAATTAAAGTGTAATATTTTATTTCTAAAAAGAAAAAAAAAAAAAAAAAAAAAAAAAAATTTCGTTCTTTTGTTTGTTTTTTTGTTTTATCCAAATAATTATTTTTTTATAAATTTTGGGCAAAAAAGTTGTGAAAAATTCTATTTTTTGAAAATTTTGTACTATTTTAACAAAAAAAAAAAAAAACTAATTAATATAGTTAGAAAGAAAAGTAATTTTCAAACAACTTTTTTTCTTTTTTTTTTGTTAACTTAAGCCAAAAAAAATGAAAAAAAAAACTAAAATTGCTTAATTTTATTAAATTTTAATGAATTTCAAAAATTTCACCTCAAAATTATCAATGATAATCGAATTGCATCTCAAAAGATTGGAAGAAATATGATCGAAAATTGTGGAAATGTGAACAAAAAACAAAAGGAAGAAAAAATTTTACAACAGTGTAAACTTTGGAATGCAAAATAATAAGCAAACAAAATTGAACGAAAATAAAAACTTTTATTTTTTCATTTTTACCGAAAAATTTTTTTTTCTTCTTTTTTGATGAAAAAATGAAATTATTGAGAAGGTAAATTCATTTAATCTACAAAATTTCTTGAAAACTACTAAATGAATGACAGTCTTTTTTTTGAATCACAAAATTAAATATTTAATATATTTAAAAAAGGTTTCTTTTTTTGACATTGTTAAATAATTTTAGTTGCGACTAAACGACGAAGCATTATTTTATAAAAAAAGCCTAATGATGAGTAAATTAATTAGTGAAGGAATGATTTACAATTTAATCTATAAATAGTTATTAGTAGATTTAATGAAATAATTAAATGTATTACAAAAATTAGATGACATTTATTAAATTAAATAAATTGTTAATTTATGTAAAGTAATAGCAACAGAAAAGAAGAAAAAAACTAAAATGATTTATTAAAAAGAAAAAGAAATCAGAAATTGAAACAAATTTTTTGAATAATTAAAATTTAAAAAGAATAAATAATGTTTTTAGAAATGCAAAATAATAAATTAAAAAGAATGTATTAAACAAATATAAAAAAAAATAAAATATTTATCTTTCTTTTTTTTTTTGTAAGATGATGTAATTATAAAAATAAAAAAATTTCAACAATATTTTTATTATTGATCGAATGATAAATGATAATTTTAATCGACAAAAACAATAATTTCATTTTTTTTCGCTATGCAAATTCACATAAAGCGAAAATTTTTAACAATATTTTTCTTGCTGATTTTATAATAAATAAAAATGCTAATCGATAGGATTGATAACAATGATACTACTACTTTATAATAATATTATTGTTAGTAACAATAATAAACATTTATCTTGATAACAATAATAATAATCATTTATCCTATGTGGTGATAACGGTGATAATAACAACAAGGGCAATAATAATATTAACAATATAGTAATAATAACAATAATAAGAACAACAATAATAATAATTATTATTATCATAGTAAATAATATCAATAATAATAAAGATAATAGTATTAATAACAATAGTAGTTATAATAAATGATAATAGTAATAATAACAATAGTAGTGATAATAAATGATAATAGTAATAATAACAAATAATAATGATAATAGTAATAATAACAATAGTAGTGATAATAAATGATAATAGTAATAATAACAAATAATAATGATAATAGTAATAATAACAATAGTAGTGATAATAAATGATAATAGTAATAATAACAAATAATAATGATAATAGTAATAATAACAATAGTAGTGATAATAAATGATAATAGTAATAATAACAAATAATAATGATAATAGTAATAATAACAATAGTAGTGATAATAAATGATAATAGTAATAATAACAAATAATAATGATAATAGTAATAATAACAATAGTAGTGATAATAAATGATAATAGTAATAATAACAAATAATAATGATAATAGTAATAATAACAATAGTAGTGATAATAAATGATAATAGTAATAATAACAAATAATAATGATAATAGTAATAATAACAATAGTAGTGATAATAAATGATAATAGTAATAATAACAAATAATAATGATAATAGTAATAATAACAATAGTAGTGATAATAAATGATAATAGTAATAATAACAAATAATAATGATAATAGTAATAATAACAATAGTAGTGATAATAAATGATGTCAGTAATGATAAGAATAATAATAATAACAATAATAATAAATGATAATAATAATAGAAGTGGAAAAGATATAAAGAAGAAAATTTTGTTGAGAGGAACAGACGTTGTATTGCTACAAGCCATTATATCACTTCACACTCTCTCATCCAAACTAGCATCAGGGATAAGAAAGAATGATAAGTGGAAAGATAAATTGATGGGTTGAAATGAAAAGGGGAGGTATTTGTGTGTATTATCATTAAATATCTAATCTATCTGTTCGAATAGACCAATTTTTATCACATCAATCATTTGATGAATTTTTGTTTTATCATTTTTTAACCTCAAATTTTTTTATGACACTTTTTTTTTTTTTTTCAATCATTTCATAATCATTTTTATTACATTAATAAATATAATAAAAGAAGTTGAAACTTTTTTTTAAATTTTAAATAGTTAAAAATATATATGTACAACATTAAAAAAAAATGAATATAATAGAAGAAATTTTTAATTTTTGAATAATTGCAAAAATAATAATAATTAATTTTTTTTTATTTTTAGAAAAAAAAACTATGAGTAAAATTATTTGTGATTAAAATTTTTAAATTCAGTTTATTTGTTTTTTTTTTTGAAATTTTTGAATTTTCTTTAATATTTCTCACGAATATGTAGCAAAATTTAACAACAAATAATAGATATAACGATTAAATTTGATCAATTATCTAAGTGTGAAATGAAATTTTAGAATTATCAAAGGGACTTATTGCTTGCTGTCTATATCTATTGTCGTACAACTTTTGACAATTCAGTTTAATGATTGGAATAATAATAAGTGCCTTTAATTTAAGAGAGATTTGAGAATGTAAATATGATTTATATTAAATGAAATAAAATGAAATGAAATAATGGAATTTATTAATTAAAATAATTTTTTTCTTTTTCAAAGATAAATACATACTCAACAAAAAAATAATATTTGGAAACAAATTAATTGTTAGAATTAGTTTAAATAGTTTTAGCTATAATTATTTAAATGCTAACAACCAGGCATACACACATACATACATATACTCGTATGACAATTGAGCAATGTCAATTTATCATTTGAAGTCAATTATTCGACGAAGTTTAAAACTCTAAGCAAATTTCTATGCAAAGCTAAATTTCTGGAATATGAAAAATTAAATTTTGCTCATTGAATGAATGTTACAAATATAATAATTTAACATAAATTTAAATTGAAAAGAAATGAGAATCTTTTCCTTTTTGATGTTTTATTTAATAAAAATTTGCCCTTAACATTTTATTTTATTCATTCACTCTTAAATTAGTTAATTAATTAATTTTTTGAAAAAGAAAAAATGATAAATCGAATGAAACAAACACAAAATCACATCAAATCTGCAGAAAATTCTATTTTTTTCAAAAAAAAAAAAGTATAATCTTTGAAAATGACATTCTATTAGTAAAAAAATTGCTTTATAATTAAATTAGGAATATATATAAATTCAAATAAAAAAGTTGAATAATTATATAATTAGAAAATGATAAATTATGATGTCAGGAAAGGTCATCAAAAAATTATAGTTCATTTTGATCCACAAAATATACACTAAAAAATAGTAAAATGAGCACATTCGTCTGATTTAGTTTGATTAATTCGTTAATTTAAAAAAATAAAAGAAAAATTTAAAAAAAGTAGCGTAGTGCAATCACAATGAAATAAAAAAAAGGTACAGTAAAATATAATAATAGATTTTTTATTAAAAATTTTTTTTATAAAATTTCTAATTAAATTATTTCAATTTTATATTTTAAAATTTATTCAAATTTTATTCTATCTATAGAAAAATTTAAGTTTATTTTATTTATTAGAACAAAGAGAAACAATGCAAAAAAAAAGAAAAACAATTAGTTTAATAATATCAATTATATAAAATTCTAATATAATTCAATATTGCATACTATAAATGAAAAAAACGAAAAGAATAGCAATTAATTAAGAAAAAAAAAATAAAAATTTATTACTCTCTTTTTTTTAATTAAAATAATATTTTTAAATATTACAAAACCCATTTTCTAATGTAAACAAACCTTTTAAAGAAATAATAGATAGTTTTTTTTTTTTTTTTTTGAATTAGAAATATAATTGAAGTGACAATTTGTACCAATGATGCATTCAGTCAAAAAAAAATAAATAAATATTTGTATTCAATCCTACCCATCCATCCATCCATCCATCCAACCATCTATTCATTCATTCATTTAATCCAATATATTGAATTTTCCGTATGAACAGCTTGTCAAAGTAAGTAATTTAACCAACAAATAAAAAAAAAAAAGAAAGAATGGAAAAAAAATATTTTGAAAAGTTGACAATTTTTTCTTTTTTTAAAAAAAAAAAAACTTTACTATATATCGTTTTAAAAATTAATAGATTGCACTTCATTTGCTAATTAAGCTTTCTTTGTTTTTGTTTTGTTTTGTTTTCTTCTCTCTTTGCAATGATTAATTAAGAAA